GACTTGGCCTTTCAGGACTGTAGCAGCTACGACTTGGCCTTTCGGGACTGTAGCAGCTACGACTTGGCCTTTCAGGACTGTAGCAGCTACGACTTGGCCTTTCAGGACTATAGCAGCTACGACCTAGCCTTTCAGGACTGTAGCAGCTACGACTTCTAGAACTTGCTAAGATCTCTGCTTGACAGGTCTACAGATCGAACCCCTACAACCTACAGACCCTACGACAACCTACCAACTGTTAACGATTACACAGGTCACGGGTTCAACTCTCGGGGTCGACACAGGTAATGTGCACAGGTAAGGTAAAGTCTAGGGACCGAGCCCTGGGATCTGCATTCGCTACTGCTAGCAGGTGAATACCGTTTCATGGCATACTGCGTAGCCACACGGGCCTGCAGGGCCCGTCCCGCATTCTCAGCCTAAAAGCCTAGAAATAAGGGCTTACAGGCCCCATGTCGTTTCAGCCTGAAAAACTGAAAACGAGGGTTTGCAGGCCCTATGTCGTTTCAGCCTAAAACAGGGCTTTTCAGCCCTTAGTCTTTTCAGCCTGGAAAGGAGAGCCACTTCCGGGCCCACATAAGATCGTCCTGCCCTAGAACTCGGGCAACAAACCAGGGTTTTGGGAACAGGCTATTTTTGGCCTGTTTCCCACGCCAACCTCAGCAGGAGCTGCAGCGCCAACCCCTGGCTTGCCCTGGCATTGGCAAGAGCAGCCTCCTGAACTGCCTCACCCGACAGTCAGGAGGCAGGCCGAGTAGTACATAGGGAGTTCCCATGCACTTTACGGGCAGGTAGTTGGACAAAAGCCAGGAGTAGTCTTCAGGATTCAGGAGCAGCCCTCTGGAGGAGCGCTGCAGGAGCAGCTTAGCGCTAGCAGTAGTCTTCAGCGCTGGGCGCTAGTAGCAGTAGCAGTAGTCTTCAGCCCTGGGCGCTCATAGGTGGTAGTAGTAGTGTTGGGGAGAGAAGGCTGGCGCAGGCCAGTGAGACTTACCTGTGGCGCCATAGCTCCAACTCCATCTTCGAGGTACCTGCATCAAGGCGCCAGCTTCACAGGTTAGTACCGGCGAGAGAGAGAGAGAGAGAGAGAGAGAGAGAGAGTTCTTCTTCTTCCTCTTCTAAGTCCACCATCTCTTCTTCACCCTCTCACTACCTCACTTCTCAGTATCAGCGGACTACGACAGAGAGAGAGAGAGTTGTGACTTGAGACTTGACGACATTGGATTCAGACTCGACATTGGGATTCAGACATTTTGACGAGGGACTATTTGGGCGTGTGCCGAAGACTTGGTGTTGACAATATTCCCATCTTCCCCTCTTCTTCGTCTAACCCCCCTCTTCTTCGTCTGTGTATGGTTGGGGCTGGCGCATTCTTCCTGTGTGAGCGCCAGACCCCTTCTCACCATGAAGTGATGATGATGATGTATGTTCGGGGCTGCATTGCAATATTGATTGTTCGGATTATTGGTATCTAAGTCTTCCGCTACGCTATCTTGTACTTTGTGAGAGAGCTCGGTTCTTGTTCTGGTCTGCACCGTTACAGTATGCAACAGTTTGGTATCGGAGTGGACCTCTCATTCAGAGGACCCACTCAATCAAGTAGCTAGTTTGCTTGATCTATTGATTACTCATTAGTAAATCAAGTAGGACTTCGTCAAATCTCTGAAGAAAAAAAAAAATTCTCGCAACAAATATCTGAAAATTTCTTATAATCGCATTTCGTTTTACCTGAAATTTATGATATTAGTATTTCGTTTTCACACAATAAATATCTGAAATTTTTTGATAATTGCATTTCGTTTTATCTGACAATTCCTGATAGTAGCATTTCGTTTCTCTGATACATAACTGAAAAATTCTGATGTTAACATTTCGTTTTCTAGGCATATTAGGATAACGATAGAAGTGGTCATATTCTCGGAAACCGGATTTATTTTTTTCTAAAAATCGAATCTCCATTCTATCTCGCAAATTTTTTTTTGAAAACCGAAATCTTACGAAGCCTACCAGCATTTCGTTAGGCATATTAGGAGGTTGCCATATTCTCAAAAACTGGATTTAGTTCTTTTCTGAAAATCGCATCTCTACTCTATTTCGCAAATTTTTTTTTTCAAGATCCCATTTTTTTGAAAGCCGAAACTTTGCGGAACCTAGCCAAGATCTCGCTCATAGTACTCTTTTGACATGCCTCACTCATAACAGATCGACAGATATACAAAAAAAAAA